CCCAGAGGACTGCATCTAGACCCTCGCAGCAACAAATGTCGCGGCAGCAGGCGCGTCCTTCTCGTAGTCGCGATGAGCGGCCGTAATGATGATGCCGTTCTCGCAAATGTTGTCTCCGCTGTGGCAGATGATCAAAGTCCTGTCCTTGGCGACCGATCCAAACGTCCTGTCGCGGTCCGCGTCACCGAAAGTAACAACTGTACATAGCATTAGTGATTTCTCATTCGACAACAGACTTTCACCTCGGGACACTTCACGTACCAGCATTCACACGCGCCGCTTGGGCAGCCGAAAGCCTCTGTGTGGCAGTGTGCACCAACTGCGCTCCCTGGCTGTATCCCGACACGACAATCTTGGTCGAAGGACAGCGGGTTATGGTCTGGCCGATGAGGTTGAACATGCTCGTCGCGCCCGCTGCGTCTCCACCAGCAAGGAATCCCAAAACACTAGCAGAGTAGTTCACGCCCTGGATCGCCAGCTGACTTGCGCCTCCTAGCTTGCCTGCCAACGCATTGAAGAACGTAGGACCTTCGGAGCCGGCTTCACCCACGTTGCCGGCACCGTTGGTACCGCGCGCGTAGATGACGGAGACGGGGCGGCAGGCAGTGCCATCGGTGAGCTGGTTGAAGGTGTCGCCGTTGTATTGGCGCTTGGCGAGCGAGTCAGAGGACGCGGATTGGGCCTCGAGTTGAGCGGCGTACTCGTCGAAGGTCAGGTCGGAGTCGATGAGGTCGGTGATGGGGAAGCTGACGCCCTCGGCCTCTGCGGGAGCAGGAGACGCAGTAGGGGCAGCGAGGGCGCTGGAAGCGAGGAGGGTGAGGGGGATGAGGTACTTCATCTTGACTGAGGTTGCCTTGGTCTGGACGAGATGAACTAGGACAATGCGGGAAGGGTCTGGAGAGCTGGGAGTGAGCGACTGAAGTCAAGTTACAACTGTACTTGTCCTACCTTACCCACAGCGCATCAAATGACCTTATATACACCCTCCCTCCTCGGCTCTACCTTGCCTCGACATCTGTACCTGCCTTTTCCTCTCCAATAAGGGAAATTAATCTATCCCCTCGCCGTCCAGCCACGAAGTAGTCTAGTCCATCTACACCTCCCTCCCCAGCGACCTTCCCAAACCCACCCCTCCGCACATCTCACCTACCCATTTTCCTCTCCCGCTCCGTCATGACGTCGACCCCAACAGGCCTACTGCCACGCACCCCTAGCCCCTACCCCAGCATTTCACCAATGAGCCTCTCACGTTGCACCTGCTCCTCCGCCGCACGAGTTATCATCCCGCCATGCGTCGCGTAGACTACGCTGCATCAGGCATGCTGGCCCGTAGTTAGCGAGCCGCACATGTCTTGGACCTTCCCGAAGCGTGCTAGTCGCGACGGGCGCATGTGCAGGTACAAGGCGGCGAAACAAGCACGTGGGAAGATCTTCTGGGATGCGAGGACTTGGGCCACATGCGGGTGCGGGGATTTAGGGGGAACGTGAGGTGGTTGCGCTATATGACGGGCTGGAGGGCGTGGGTTTGTTTATGCGTTGGGATGCAGGTGGTGATTTGGGGATGCGGTGTTGATGCGGCTTGCGGCTTGCGGCGCTTTTGCATCCAGTTTTGGATATTTGTTTGGGATTTTGGCCGAGGTCTGCGTCTTGGTGTGTGTTTGGTTCATGCTGTATTGGAATAGGATCCGTGTTGTATGTTTTGATGCGGGTACCTTGCAGTGTCGTTCATATGGATCGTCTTTGACAACATTGATTCGTGGAAGGGCGTGTTATGGATTGTTGAAAATTAGAACAGTTGTAACGAGTGAGTGCAATGATTCTTCAATTTCCAGCAATTTAGCAATAGCTGGGAATCTTGAGCGGCGAGCTGCTCAGCAATGCCCTTTGGTATAGTGATGTAGATCTTGAAGCGTAGGACTCTCTTCGATGCAATGATACTATTTATTTCTTCCGTCAATGCATTAGCTGTATGAAGGCCTTGTCAGATTGGTGGAAGCCTTGCCGTCAGAAAGAATGCCGCGGAAGCACTAATGACAGAAATTGCGTCTTGCAAGTAGCCATCTCAGAAGATCTCTCCCTGCAATCGTACAAGACACTCCAGGGACTCTAGGAAACGTTGCAGATGGATCAGTCTGCTGGACCTCGCACGTTTCATTGAGTCTCCAATTTCCTACCATGTCGACTGCATTTCCCTTTTTGCTAGTTGTTCCCCAACAATCTTGACTTGGAATGGCACACAGGCACATAATGCGGTCACGGCATGTTTTAAATCCAAACGCCGATGCATCGCGCTAATTGGCATGACGGAACCGCTACCCTCTCTTCTAATCTTAGTAGATTGATGTTTCGGTTCACCTTCTTACCCTGACTAGAACTTGCACGCACAGTTCAGGAAGATAAGGAACGATCACGTTGCCATGATTTCTGTCCATCCCAGAAGCCTGACACAATTGTCTCTCCACCTGAATGAAGGCTACACACAGACCTGATTTGAATTACTCATAACAACGTCACGCAAGAGTCCCGTTCCATGTCCTCAACAGTCACACACCAGCCCAACCATATCAATCATGGACACATTTCATTTCATTTCTATTTTCCTTCCCTCCACCCGCCTCTACTTTGTATATTTCTTCTGCAACGCCTTCGCAATCGTCGTCAACTGAATATTGCTCGTGCCCTCATAAATCGCACCAATCTTGCTGTCCCTGAAATACTTCTCCGCCAGGCCCTCGCGCACAAAGCCCATGCCGCCCATCCACTCAACCGCCTGGCTAGACACCTTGCCAGCGACCTGCGAAGCGTAGAGCTTGGCCATGGCGGCGTCCATGACAAAGTCCTCGCCTGCTTCCTTTTTGCGGGCGGCGTTGTAGACGAGGGCGCGGGCGGCTTGGATCTCGGTCCAGGCTTGTGCGAGCTGGTGCTGCATGCCTTGGAATTCGCCGATGAGTTGGCCGAATTGTTTGCGGTCGTTCCAGGCGTATCTAGAGCATGTTAGGGCGTCTTTTTCTTTGGCGCGGTAGGTACTTTGTGATGGCTTACCCAGCGGCATTCTCCCATGCCCCCAGCGCTAATCCGGTCATCTGCGCTGCAATGCCGATTCGTCCCTCGTTCAATAGCCCAATCGCGTACTTGTAGCCTTGGAACTCCTCGCCGAGCAGATTCTCCTTGGGGATCTCTACATCGTCAAAGTTGATGACGCACGTGCTGCTCGCCTTGATGCCCAATTTCTTTTCCTTCTTCGCAATTGAGAACCCGGTGGTGCCCTTTTCGACAATAAACGCCGTGATGCCTTTGTACTTCTTGCTCGGGTCGAGATTGGCAAAGACGACGAAGAAATTGGCCTCGACACTGTTTGTTATCCACATCTTGCTGCCGCTGATTTTGTAGCCATTGTCTGTACGTGTCGCCTTGGTGGCGAGGGCGAAAGCGTCGGAGCCAGAGACGGGCTCGGACAGACAAAAGGAGCCGACGGTGTTGGTGGCAAGGGCGGGCAGCCACTTCTTCTTGAGGGTCTCGGAGCCGTATTTGAGAATGGCGGTGTTGACGAGCGTGTTGTGCACGTCGCACATGACGCTGACGCTGGGGTCGACACGCGCCAGCTCTTCAATGGCAATGATGGCCGAGGTGAAGTTCATGCCGGAGCCGCCGTACTCTTCTGGAATCTCGATGCCCATGAGGCCTTGCTCGAATAGTTGCTCGACGACTGCGGGGTCCATGGATTCGGCTTCGTCCATGTCTCGGGCCTTGGGGAGGATCACATCGTTGGCGAATTTAGAGACGGAGTCGCCCATGAGCATCTCGGTCTCGGAGAGGTGGGTGATGGGCGTGGGGGGGACGTCGGAGATGTCGAGGGCCTCGCGGCGTTTGGCGGTTGCTGAGAGGCATCGTATTCTGCATTTCGTCAGTTTCATCTTCTTTCATCTGAAAAGTAAAGAGCAATGACATACTGCGGGGCGGCGCGCACAGCTGGCCGTACGCGTGAGGATGCCGCTGCCGTACGCACAAACGGCCTGAGTGTTCTTGAAATTGATGCCATGATGTCTATGAAAATTCGGTAATGTCAGGTTACAGAATAGGCATTCAGCGAGGAATTTAGTGTACACTGCATGTGCTCCGTCGCCGCAAGTGTGGTTGGCCGTGCCGAGGCTGGAGGGACTGGCTGTGCTTAGCCGTTACAAGCCGTACCAGAAACAGCTCCGAGAATGCTGATTGGCGGCTCCCACTGTCCACTGCCTTTCTCAATCCGGGGTTGCGGAGACGTCCCGCCATTCACATGTCAGGTGGCTCGTCATGGATAAACTTCAACTCACCAGATTGCACGATATTTTCGACTCTCTCGGCTGACTCTCAACCAAGAATATCGTCTGCAGCACCTCTAAGACCTTTGAAGTTACACATCTCAGCGGAATGCAACCGCACATCTTCATATTACGACATGGCCGATATTCCCCGCAGTCGAGGGACCATATTCTCTGGCCTCTGAGCTTATTTCCCAAGAGACGTCCTTCATTGCGTGTCCCTTTGATGGTATAGAATACATCAACAGACATTGGCTAACTTTCCAGCGGCATCTCATCCCACTTAGCCCTTTACACCTTGCCATACACGTTGTCATCTTGCCCTTCATGACTGAAAAGATGTCTGTTCCACGCATACATCTCCCCAGACTAGTACCAGTATATACTTCCTTCTCCTCTACATTGCCCTTCCATCTTCTCCTACCTTTCGTCTCCTCAACTCAAGATAATATCCATTGTCGAGCATCTGAATTCTTGAACTTCTCTCCCAAGGGTATTAACTTGCTTCTTCACCCACTTCCTTCCCTCTGTCTTGATTTACTTCCCCAATCTCACCTCCCAGGAACCTCTCCTTCTACCTTCCTGTATCTTCTTCTTCCCTACTTGCTACGCGGACCTTCAATCCTGCCTCTCAGTATTGGTCTCTCTTTCGTCCCATACAATATCGGGGTTTCAAGATATCGTCATCAAATCATCCCATCCAAATTGGTGTAGTGGTTAGCATTTTCCGCTCTCAAGACAGTCGTAGCGACTGAGGGCCCGGAAAGACAAGCGTTCGATTCTCTTATTTGGAGTGCTTCGAGGTGATCTTTTTTGTCGTTGATTGCTCTAGCTACATTTTGCTTCAAGCCTGAGAAAAGAATAGGTGGTGGGTAAAAACAGATTTATCTTTATATAGTCTGAGATAGATTGATATCGTATGTAAATGTATGTATAGTGCCTTGTCCGTCGATACTGGACAGCAAATCGAAATAGCTCGTGAGATGAGAAGGATAACAGCCAGCATCCAAGTGACCATATGAAGCCTGTCCACAAGCATAGCCATAACCATAACTCCAATAGTAGAACCCCAATGCATCTCTAACGCCATATCGACAACTGCAAGATATTAACACATCACTCAGCACCCTCTCCGTATGCTTACGTTTCTCCACTGCAGGTGATAGTCCCTACAGCACGACCTTCCTCGCCTCATTCGCGTGACTCTCACTCGGGCAATACGGGCACTTGAAGCGGTTCCCCTTGGACAGCTTGTGGAGCGATTCCTGAGCAATGACATGGCCGCAAGGCATCATCATGGGCGGGTTCTCGTCTGTCGTTTGCTCTTTGGAGACGGGGCAGACGAAGATGGAGTGGAAGTGGTAAGGGGTGGGGAGGGGGATTTCGACCTGTGCATCAAATCAGCATCCGACTCCAGCCGTCTTGGAAGAAAGTATTCAAACGTACCGGCAGCTCATTCTGCGTCGTCCACTCGGTGCGCTTCTCCTTCATGATACTCTGCATCTTCAGCAGCGTCGGAAGCGCAATGGCACCCGCCGTGGCAGCGATGAAGAGGGGCGAGTCAGCGCTCAGCCCGAGCAGCGAGCAGAATTCTCGGTTGAACGAGTGCGCGACCTCTTCCCACGCGGATTCATTGTACATGATGCTCCGATACGGCGAGTCGCGCACATTCTGCCAATATGCCATGGCGCCCATGAGTTCCTGCACCTCGCGCGCGTATCTCTTCTGGAAGCCGCCGAACTCGTGCAACGCATATCGATATGCGTGCAGCGGACCGCTGGGAGAATCTTCCATGTCATCGTCCCCCTCCTGCCCAACAAACAGGCGTACAAACTGCAAGCGGGCGAGTTCGAACTCGAGGTTGCTCCCCCGCGCCTCGAGAATGTGGCTCCGCTCCTTGGCCCACTGAATGGCCGGGTCGAGGTTCCGCTCATTCCGCAGCTCGTGCAGTATGTGGTACATGTCGGCAAACTGCTCCTGCAGCTTTTCAGAGTTGAAGGTGCCTTCGGCCAAGTCCTTTTCCCATGATTCGCGAATATATGGGTTGGGCGTGTTGGGCGTGGGCTCGGGGTGCGGCGGCCGTCGTTCGGCTTCCGCGATGAAGGTGGAGGCGACGCCGAACTGGCCTTCGCGCAGGAGGTGCATGGCGATGGCACGGTTGATGAGAGAGGGGTGCGAGGAGAGGGCGTCATTTTCGGCCGATGGGAGGGGCTTGTCTTTGAATTTCTATGCTGCAGGGTCAGTTGGGGGCCAGAGCAGGACGTATCCTGGGCGGCGCACCTTGTCCAGCACCCTGCCGTACTTGTTCAGGCCCGCGTATATGGGCTTCAGATCCTTTTGCGCGGCTTCGAGCGACTTCTTGACGGGGTCTTGCAGCTTTGCGAGGGCTAAGGGCGCCGTCTGCGGGTCTGCTCGTGTGACGGTTAGTGAAGCGTCTTTCACTCTGTGAGCGGGGGAAGTCGCGCACCGGCAGCAATCTTGGCGCGAGCTGCAGTCAGCTGGTCTATCGCCTTTTGGATGTCGGCGATGCTCGTCGAGAGGTTTGCGCTGCTCTCGAGAAGCTCCACCTGCTCGCGGAGGTCGTCCATGGCGGGAGCGGGCGTGCCGTTGATTGTTTCAGGGACGACGGCAGGAAGGGTCGGTGTGGACAGCGGTGGATGCGGTGGAATAGCTGTAGGCTGGCCAGCAGTCTTGGCTATCGCAGCCCATGGTCGTGTGCTGGTTGCGGTGTGGCCGTCGTGGAGCAGCTGTGTTGGTGATGGACTGAGCGGGCCGCGGCATGACGTGGGCGCGATCAAGCTTCTGCCATGCATCCATCCCTATGCTCCCCTTCACTCAACACCACACATGCATGTCTGCATCCGACAGTGACCATGCATAGTACGCGCCTGGATGCGCCTTCCACCTCATCGCCCGACGCCCGCTCGCACCTTCCGAACCGTGGGCGAAGGCGGCACTCACGACCTGCGCTCGCACAATGAGAACATCTGAAGCCATCCTTCACGCACTGCACCCACAAACATCCCCCAACACCGGCTATCTGCTATAGCCATGGCCATCGCGCCACCGCTGTTCGCGACGCGGACCGCCTCGGAGCGGGAGCTTCGCCAGCAGATGCCAGCGCTGCAGACAGGGCCGCTCACGCGCACCAACACAGCCCGGAGCAACGTGAAGCCATTTGGCCCTCCAAGCAAGAGGTCAACCATGGATTCCATGGCACCTGCAGACCATGTCGCATCTCCCACTGCGCAGCCAGGCCATCAGCGCTTCGTCCTCACCGACCACGTAGCTGCCCTGTATCTTGAAGACGACCCCAACACAACCGTACTCGCCCGCCGGCAGAAGATCGAGGGCTATGAGATATATCTGGTCGAACAATGGGCATGCTCACGCTCGCATCCGACCTTCCTCATCACCACATACACCGGAAACCCCTCGGACGTTGTGCTGGCAACCATCATCAGCGTCCCGGCGGACGAAGCACAGTGGTCGTCGCGGATGCGGTTGTACTTCAGCTCACTCGCCCAGTACCACGCTCGCAGGAAGGAGACACCATACGGAACCCTGATGATCACTAACATGAGCGGATTTCCTTCCTCCCTGACCGTCATCCCCATTCCTGGTGGAGACATGAAGAAGTATCGCGAAACATTCTTCGTCAACGAGAATCTCAAGAGGCTGGGCTGTTCAGGACGTCTGGGTATTAAACTTGCTCCACCAAGCAGTGCCACAGAAGCAAAGTTCCACCAGCTGTATCGCACGAGTGAAAAGATTCCCTTCAACGCGTCCGTCATTGAGCTCGTGAAGCTATGCCAAGTTGCCCTTGTCCTTTTTGGCAAACTCGAGCCCGAGTTCGCTGACGGCCTACTCTGCGATGTGACCGAGAGAGCAGTCAATGATTGGTGGCTCGAGCACGGGTCCGAGTACTACACAGTCGAGCCTCACGACGGCATTCTTGGTCCCACCACTGTCGCTGCCTTATTGGGCATGCTGATGGGCGCTCGAAACAGGCTGAGTGCGTGTAACGCACCAGTCTCAAAAGACGTCTTCGACATGGAGAGCACAAAGCGGGGCATCGCCCACTTTCAAAAGTCACAGCACATACAACGGACACGGCGGCTCGACAGACAGACCCTCCACAAGCTGCGGAGAGCTACCGCTAAGGCTGCCAGCAAAGAAGGCTGGGCTGTCCCACGCGCATTCAAGTCTACCGTAGCTGAACTTGGTGGCAAGGGCGGCGAAATGGTCATGGGCATGGTCGGAGCAGGACAGAAAGACGGCATTGCCGAAGTTGAAACCGTCGACATCGAGCAGTTTGTTGAATTGGTCCGTGGAGGACACGCCAAGTGGCTCTGGCACGGGAAACCTCGCAAAGCCAATGCAGGAGACATGTTCAGCCGCTTGCCAGGAGAAGAACGACCCGATACTCCAGAAGAACCAGAACCTGGAAGGAAGCCACTCACAAGAGAACACACGTTTGAGCCGCAGAAATTGATCAAGCGCGAAACCACCGGCGATGGTAGCAAGAAGACAGAGATATTTTCTCCTGATGGCATGGAGCGCGACAAGGACAAAGATCCCTTCTCACGGCGTGCTGCCATCAAAGCCATACCTGGAAGCGGCTTGCGGCATATCAAAGATGCTGTTGGACTTCGAACACATGCTACGAGGTTGTCACGAGAAGAGCATGGTCGGCATGGTCTACATCGAAGTAAGAGTGACCTCCGCTCGCCAGTATATGTAGATGCCAACGGAGCTCATATACGAGGAGAAGACGATCACTCGTCGGCCTCTTCGCAGCCTGCCACTGCTGATGTCGACCCCTCCTTCACCAAAGTCCTTACCGAAACACCACAGGAGTCTTTGACCGATCTTTCAATTGACCGAACGTCGCAACGAGCTGATGGAGTACTCCAGCCATCGACATTGAGACACTCCGTTGCAGAAAGTGATACCTCAACACAACCGCCGACAGTGGAAGACTCGGTGGCAGGCTCCGTTTATCACGGTGTTGGGCTCAACGACAAACTGCCTATTGAGGACGCCCAAGGAGTCCCGCCTTTGCTGCGTCGTACCTTATCCACTGATCAATTGGAATTCGATGGCGTCCCCCGTCACGACGAATGGTGGCCTCGCCAACTCTCCTTCAGCATCGCAGAAGAGAACGTCCTACGATGGCGCGCCATAACCACCACCTCGATCGAGGATGAAGCTGTTGAAGAGACCGAAAACTCAGCCGTAGCCTTGACTGCCACTCTCGCCCTCCAAAACGTCCAATCCGAACACCTCAAGCGCCTACATCACCGCCTCTCACTTGTCTCTACCAAAGACAAAGCCTGGGTCGCGACTCAACTCCAAGATCTCCATGACCTCGAAGACGCAGCAGATACTGATGCCGAAACGTTGTATTCAATATATGACCCCCATCTCGACACATATCACGCATTGCGTGAAGACGCGCACGCTATTGTGACGAGTAATAGACAACAGCTTACCATGTCCGTAAGAGAGTTGGGCAATGTCGGCGATAAGTTGGATTATGAAATCAGTGCGTTGCGCAGCAAAGTGGAAGATGTCGAGGACGCACTAGGGGAGTTCGAGAGGCAGGTCGAGGCTGTGGAAGGGAGGATGGAGGAGTTGGACAGGGTGTTGGGCGTGAGGGAGGGGTGGTGGCATTGGGCGATCAGAGCGACCACGGGTATCGGGAGGACGTCGGGCATGTAGTCGAAGGTAGATGAGCTAAAGCTCAAGTCGTGTTTTGTTTGGGTCGGAGTTGGATATCAAAGGCGCGATA